ACTTCTCATTAGGAGGTTTGTTTGTTTTTTCTTACTCTACCCCTGCCCTACTCCACCTGCAGAGATGAGGCAGTGAGAAAATGAGAGAGAAGTCCACATCAGACTTTGCTGTGTGCATTCCTCAGTAATGGAGGGGTTGTGAGATCGAAAGCTATAGACGATAATAATTTGGGGAATCAAGCTTTGACACAATAGATTCTGTGACGGCTACTGGAGCATGCTTTGCCCTGGTTTTACTCCTGCTCCATTATTTACATCACTTGTTCAAGTTGTTTACCTTCTCTGTGCCTCACTTTCCTCCAGTGTTTACATGGGAACCACAGTGGAACTCACTGTATAGGATAATTGAGAACCATACAAGGAAGATGAGATACACTCCCTGATGGACACAGTAACTGCTAAGAAATGTTACCCATTTATTATTTTGTAAATCCATGCTTTCTGGGACCAGAAATCAGTAAGAACTGTAATTCTTTCGCAGACAAACAGTGTCATCGCCTTATAGGGGCAGAAAGCAGATACTCCACAGCTCACAGAGGCTCCACTCAGAGATTCTGTTTCATGCCCATCCTTTTCCCTCTCTAGCCAAGAAACTCATCAGCAGCATAGACCTGAAAGAAAGAAAAACTTGGAAATAAAAAGGAATGAAGTCTGCCCACTGTGATCCTAGATCCCACAGCTTTTATTAATTTTTTAATCTGATTGAGAATAGCTAACAAGCACTGAGGTCTTGTTTTCTACCCAGCATTTTGCTAAATGCTTCACAGTAAAACCATTTCATTTAGTCCTTAAACATGAGCCCAAGAAGTAGATATGATTATTCTTTCTATTTTATAGATAAGAAATCTAAGACCTGGAGAAATCAAGTAATTTGCTCCAGATAGATCCCTAGGAATCTCCAGAGTGAATGTGGACCAATACTTGGTTATTGTCTTTCTTTCTTTGTTTCGAACATTAACCAACTGTAATAGATAACCAATATTAATTTTAAAAATATTTATTGAATACCCACTCTGTTTCAGGCACTAATCTTATCTCCAGAGATACAAAAGTCTACCCTTGTGAAACTTAATTGCTAGTTGAAGGAGACATACAATATGCAGGGGAAATAAACAAATTACCTAGAATTTTAAGAGGTGATGAGTTCAATGGGAAAGACAGAAAACTTACAAGGTAAGAGAGCTAAGGGCATTGCACTCAAAAGGGAGTTATGCAGCCTCATTGTGAAAGTGAGATTTGAGCAAGGACTTAAAGAAGGTGAGAGATTCATTTGGAATAGGATTCCATGCAGAGAGAAAAATGGTAGAGAGACCCTAAAAGAAAAATGAGATTGGTTTGGGGGAAAATCAGATCAGAAGCCAGCATGGCTAGAGTAGGGACTGAGGTCCAAGATGCACCAAGGTAGGGCAGGCGAGGTCTTCTTGCCAGTGCGTAAACTTCAGTTGTATTCCAGATGAAATGAAGAATGGACTTGAGTAAAATGGTCTGGTGGACCTTCTTTTTAGAGGAATATGCTTATATCCTGAATTGAGAGAAGACTACAAGTAAACAAGAGCTGAAGCAGGAAGACCGATTAGAGAACACTGCAGTCATTAAGGTGAGGGATGTGAGGTGGCTGGATAGTGGCAGTGAAGGTAGTGAACAATTGATGGCTTCTAGAAATATGTTAAATAACGGGAATTTACTGATAGTCTGCAAATTGGATAGGAGAGACAGAAAAAGGTCTAGACAAGTGCCAATTCTTCTGACCTGAGCAGCTGGGTAGGTGGCATTGAAATTAACTAAGAAGTCAGTGACTGTAGTGAAAACAGTTTGGATTGTGGTCCATTGCACAGGTACAGGAGAAGATGAGGTTTGGGGGTTGGTACATACTAAGTTTGAGAAGTTTATTAGAAATTTCACTAAACTAAACATCCCTACTTGTAGGAAGATGGACCAATAAGTCTGGAAGTCAAGGAGGCCCTGACTGGAGATACAAGTCTGCAGTAGATAGACACATAATCATATCCTTATGTTCGAATGGGATCATCAAGTAAATGCATATAGAGAGCTCTGGAGTATTCCATTTTTGCTAAATAAGTCCACAAAGAAGAGAAACAGAGAGTTAAGTAAACAACAAAGAAGGAGGTAAACAAGAGAATGAAATGTCCTGGATGTCAATAAATAAAAGAAAAAAATAGGGAATGATCAGCTGTATCAAATATGGCAGACAGACCATTAAAATCAGTCAGTCCTGTAGAGGCCAGTGGTAACTTCAACAAGGGCAGTTTTGGTAGAGTGAGTGAAAGCCAAAGTGAAATGTATTTAAAATATCAGGAAGAGAGAAACTGGAAATATGGAAGTACAGTATAGAAAATGGTTAAGGTGGGGTGGAGAGGAGTGGTTAAGGTGAAGTGTTTAGGCAAAAAAGAGGAAGAGAAATGTGTCAGTGGGGAGAAGAAAAAGTGGGGTTAAGAGGGGATTTTTTAAAAGGTGTTGGACAATACATTGTTTGCTAACTGATGGGAATTACATAGAGAGGAAATTGATGATGTAGAAAAGAGAGGGAATTCACTAGAAAAATTACCTTGAGGAGTAGCATTGGGAAGGGATCTGGTAACCAAGTGGAGAACTTGGTCTATAAGTAATAAAATATATACGCCATCAATGGTAGCAAATGAAAAGACAGAATGTAAGGCATATGTTCTGGGGGCTGGAAAAATAAGGTGGTAGAACTTTTTGGAAAATCTGTTCTGATGGCTTCAATTTTCTTATTGATATGAGAAACAATCAGTGTTCAGCAAGAGGGAATGAGGAGACAGTATTCCAATGTTCAAGACTATTTCTGATCCTCTAAGAAATAAATGTCAGGATGTAAATAGATGTGCAAGAGATTTATTAGGGAAAAACTTGAAAATAAACAGGAAGAAAGCAAGGGACAGTGGGAACTGCAATTCGGATACACCACATGTGAAATAGATTGGGTATAAAGACCTTCAGACTGCAGTAAAATCCTAAGAACATCTCAGCCAGTCCATTAGAATGTCCCCAGGTATATTCCCAAGAGAGAAGTCTCACATCAAACAGGAATGGCCTGGCTCTAGCATTCCAACCAGTCACTGGAGGGGTGCCGTCCTGTGGGGAAGGATGGCCAGGGTATGAATGCCACACTGCACCTGAACATGCAGCAGCTAAAAAGAACCCACCACAGGTACCTTCCCCACAGATACTCTTGACAGGAGATCTAGTGACACACCTCCACGACTGCCGCAAAGGATGAGGAGAGAGGGGAAGGCGTAAAATAACCATCTGGAATAGAAGGCAACGAGTTACCAAGAAAATGTGATCTTTTTCTCAGTTGGCTTAAGGGCCTCTTGATAGTCATGTCCCTGATTCAAGGGGCTGTTTTTTTTGCCCAGGTATATGCAGGTGTTCAAATATAATTGCAGAGAAGACAGAAAATTGATTTTAAACAAGGTTGAGGTTTTCGCAAGTGAATATAAAGAAGCAAGAGAGGGGCTTGAGGTCTGGCTGTATTGCACAGAAGTGAATTACAACTGACATGGAAGGAAAGAAAGGCACAGAGAATAAAATAACAGCAAAATGATGGAAGAATCAATAAATGGAACCCTATGCTGAGATCAGAGATAGATAGAGCTTGGATACTAAACAGAGTGAGATGAAAATACAGTACTGTAAGAAGTGATCAGAGAATGGGATATGTAAAACTGAGATTATGAAAGGAGTGTAGTTATTGGAAACAATAAGGCTTAAGACATTACCAAGGAAATGAATGGTTAAGGTGGGGTGGAGGGCAATTTCATTAAGTGGAAGAGCTCAAGAAATGGAAGGAACACTGTTGTAGGAATCATTTACACCAGTGTTGAAATTACCAAAAATTAGGACACAATTAGTATTATAGAGAGTATAAAACAGCCAATCACTAAACTCCAGAAATGAATTATCCAAGGAGCAGAAGATGAAGGGGAACACAAAGTATAAGAATAAAACAAGACCCAAAGTTTTCAGAGTTTAGGGAAAATCGAACGACAATCTGAAAATGGCAATGAGGAACATGAAGAACACCTACCTCATTATCTAGACCTGGTGGTACTAAAGCTTTGTGAGAAAACAAAATGTTACTGATGGAAAGTGCTCCCGATGAACTAGGAGCTTCAGAGCAGAGTTTGATCTCAGTAAGGATAGGAAGATGAACAAAACTGCATCGTTCAAGGTCCATTTAGAAGAACAGAACCAACACCAGTTAGCTCATTTATTCAAGGACCTGGTTACAAGAGTATTAAAGAGGTGAGAAACCCAACTGTATACAGTGAAGAAATCAGCAAGAATAGAGGACTATCATGACTGTTTTGGCTGTAAAACCTAGAGGAGGAGGTGAAAATGAAACCAAGTGGGAACTGGAACCACAAGGAAAATCATCCAGAAGGATTGGAACCAAAGAAAAGTCATGGATACTGTTAGATGCTAAAGTGGAGAGGAGGGGGAAGACTTTTCCTTTCCTACCACTTTTTAATCTCTCAATGGTGCTTCCTATTGGCTCAACCTAGATGGCAGTAGTAATAATAATATTGGTTTTGATATACTGTCTTATCTAGTGCTAATACATGTGCATGTGTATATGGGTGTGTGTGTGTATGTGTGAATGATGGGGTGGGGAATTGAAAAAGCACTTGCATTTGTACCTCAGAGTCATCTCTCTATGTGGGCACCTGTTGTCCCATCCATCATCACATCTGCTGGGTAGTTTGATCCTTCTGAGTGCCTGAAGAAATGTCCTTGGTTTCTACCCCCATGGTCTCTTTGGGAACTCCTTCTGCACCAATTTTGGATGCAAAAGTGTCATCTACATCTCCCTTCAACCCAATATGGTATGAGAAACTCTAGGAAGTGTCCAAAGTCCCATCTTGCTGGAACCATACCTCAGAGCATTTTTCTTTCATGTCTTACCACCTCAAGCTCTAAAAGGAAGTGTGAATCTCCACTCTGATTCACAAGCTATCTGTAGCTGCTGCCAAAGCTTTAGGCTCACCCCAGAGCATGGTCTGGAGCTGGGCGCAGGACCTTTCTCAGGTAACTCCCTAACCTTTCTTGTTTTTCTTCATCAACTTATTATTCTGACAGCCTGAGGAATGCTTAGTGGTGGGGAAGTCTTGAAGGAGGAGTTCTACTCAATAATCTCCAAACCACTTCTATCTAGTCTCACTCTTCCTTTAAGCCCTAAGAGGAAAGCAAAAGCTTTTTCCCTTCCCTGGGGCAATCAATATGGGATAGTTATTTGCTGGGGGGGGGGGGGAGGCAAGAAAGAAACAGGAGCGAGAAAGTACCTAAGGCTGGGGGTGGGGGAAACATTGGGTAATGTTTCAAAAAAATACTGCATCTCCATACAATCAAATTCTGAGAGAAGGTAACAGGCTGGGCTCAGCCTCACAGGAGAGGAGAGAGGCTGGGAACAAAGAAAGATTTTGAGAAGGATATTAGAATCCATGGAAGTGATTACATTTTCTTAAATGTTTTCCTTTTTGTGGAATAGAACTTCTCAACCAGAAAAAAGATTTCAGAGAGTGAAATGAGAGTTGAGGCATGTTTACAAAAAACAATCAACTATAATAGCCCTGTGAACCAACATCACATGGGTTTCTCACAGTGGTTAAGGTTGGTATCATAACTCCCTTTTACAGATGAGGAAACAGGCAAAAAAAGGTTCAAAATTTGAACAAAGTGATACAAATCAGGGCTGGGGCAGTGGCTGTGGAGACTTGAGGCTAGTAACTAGTGATAGTTTTCTTCTTCTCTCATGACTGAGTTTAAAATGGACTTATTTTCAATCACTGATTTTTAAAAATTTTTGCACGTTTGCATATGTCATTGACATTAGTTGTTATCTGCTTGAGAAAGAGAAACTAGGACATGACTCAGCATGGGAAAGTGGGAAGTGATTTTGTGGGAACATATTTCCTACAGTAACCATAGAAGACTTGAACTTTGCTGGGCTTCAATTTACTAATTAGTGAAACCTCCTCAGAAGAAGCATGTAACTCCCCCTCAAGTGGCCTGGCACGGGTACATACTTGTGCTGGGATTTGTGTCTCAGGGGTTGAGCTGGGTGGGTGAAGTGTGTTACTAAAACAGCCCAGAGCAGGAAGAGCTGGTTCTGTGTAATTGCTCAGTCTTTGGAAAACACCAAAAATCAGGCACAGGAAACAGAGTTCAGCTATTGAATTTAGTGCAGACAGGAAACCAGAGGCAGGCCTGAAAATCAGAAGCTGATAGAAGCTGCACAGAACTGAAAATAGTAGTCAGGGGGAAGTTGGGGCTACATTTTTTTATAGTCAGTGTTGGTAGCACAAAATAAATCATTATGTTTTAAAGATTACCACTAAAATAAATATTTCTTTTTTAAAATTTACTTTCATTTTTTTAATAAAAGTGGTTCATACCGGGCATATGTCTAATTTGATTTTCCCTCAGTATCATGAACATATCCTTTTATTTCTCAACTACAGCAGTTAGGGTTTGCCAGGATTGCTGCAAGGCCTCCCCGACAAAGGAAACCAGCTACATAACAACCAGAGATTTAATAGCCGCTTCCAGTCCTGGATCACTTTTGTGTTTCTTATCTACTCTTTATATAATCTGACACTCAGACATCATCCTCTGACTTCCTTGATATTTCTCTATAGGGATTTTTGATCATTTCTGGCTGCTTCTTCTGACCCCCTTTATAATGATTGTTTTCTTCTGATTTAACACTTGAATATAGAGAAGAGACTCCTAGAAGCAATAAGAAACTCCTCTTTTTAATTTTTTTTCCTTTTTACTTCTTTTCATGTTCCTTTTTGTTTTGGTCTTTTAATTGCTATAAAAATTGAGTATTTAAGAGGTACTATGTGACCTACATTTTTAGATTCCACCTTGAGTGAGATCATGCGTACTTGTGTTTCTGTGCCTGGTTTATTTTACTTAACAACCTTCAGTTCCATTCATGTTGTCGTAAATGACAAAATTTCATTCTTTGTATTTGGCTAAAGAGTGTTCCATTGCATATATACACCACATTTTCTTTGTTTATTCATCATTTGATGGACACTTAGGTTGCTTTCATTTCTTGGTTATTGTGAATACTGGGGCAATAATCACTGGAGTGCAGCTATCCCTTCAACATACTGATTTCATTTCCTTAGGATCCAGGAATGTGACGGCTAGATCATGAGGTAGTTCTATTTTTCATTTTTTGAGGAACCTTCATATGGCTTTCCATAATGGCCATACTAATCTACATTCCCTCCATATCCTCACTGCACTTGTTCATTTTTGTCATTTTAATGGTGGCTATTCTAACTGGAGTAAGGTGATAACTCACTGTGAGCTTGATTTTCATTTCCCCAATGAGTAGTAATGTTGGGCATTTTTTTACTTATCTCTTGGCCACTTGTGTATCTTCTATTGAAAAATGTCTATCTAGGTCTTGTGCCCATTTTTTAATCACCTAATTTGTTTTTGTGCTGTTGAATTGAGTTCTCTATATGTTCTGCAGATTAACCCTATATCAGAAGTATAGTTAGAAAATATTTTCTCCCACTCTATAGGTAGTCTCTTCATTCTATTAAGTGTTTCTTTCACTCTACAAAAGCTTTTCAGTTTGTTGTAATTTTTTTTTTTTTTTAGTTTTTGCTTTTGTTTCCTATGCTCTGGGGATCTTCTTAAAAAAAAATTATTGTCTATTCCAACATCCTGAGCCATATCCTGTGCTTTCTCCTAGTAATTTCATAATTTTCAGTCTTACATTTAAGTCTTTAATCCATATTGAGATGATTTTTGTAACTTTAATCCATATGCGATGGTTTTTGTAATAGGTTATCTAGTTCACTCATGTGTAGGTGGACATCCAATTTTCCTAGCATAAAAATTTATTGAGATTGACCTGACTCAATACATATTCTTAGCACCTTTGTCCAAGATTAGTTGGCTGGAGATGTATGGGTTTAATTCTAGGCTCTCTGATGTGTTCCAATGGTCTATGTGTCTATTTTTATGTTAATACTATGCTGTTTTGACTATTACTTGGTAATATGGTCTGACATCAGTGTAAAACTTATGATTGTTTTGTTCTTTTTGCTCAAGATGGATTTGAATATTTTGAGATTTTTGTTATGTTTTGATAAGTATTTCACGAATCTGTAAATTGCTTTCAGTAACTTGGACATTTCAATGATATCAATTCTTCCAATTCATGAATATGGGAGGATGTTTTGGATGTCCAGATGTTCTAGTGTCCTCTTCAATTTCTTTTATTAATGTTTTATCATCTTCATTGTAGAGATCTCTTACCTCTTTGGTTAAATTTATGACTAGATATTCTACTTTATTTTACCTATTGTAAATAAAACTGTTTTCTTGATGTCTAGTTCAGATAATTTGCTATTTGCATATAGCAACACTACTGATTTTTGTATGTTAATTTTTATCCTGCAACTCTCCTGAATTTATTAGTACTAATAGATTTTCGGTGGAGTCTTTTGAGTTTTCTTTGTATAAGATCATGTTATATGCAAACAGTAACAAGTTGACATACTGCTTTCCCATTTAGATGCCCTTTGTTTCTTTATCTTGTCTGATTACTTTGGCTAGATCTTTCAGTACTATTTTAAATAAAAGTCGTGAAAGTAGGCATCCTTTGCTGGTCCCAGATTTTAGAAAGCTTTCAGATTTTCATTACCACAAGCTATTTTGAAATTACAGCAACTTATTATTAATTGCAAAGATAGGAAGTAAAACAAAAAAGAAAAATATTTTTTTAAAAAAACCGTCTATATTTGCAATCTATTCCTTCCCACAATTTGAATCTTTATGCCCCATTATATATATTTTTTATTTCCTATCTCAACATATTAATATTGTTATTATTTTAGCTACTTTTCTTTTTTAATCTTCCTTACTGAAGGTATGAATGTTTTGCACATCATATTTGGAAAAAAATGAATGAAATTTATATGGAATTTTTCTGCAGATTTACTCTTACCAGTGAGGTTTAGACCTTTTGATGTTCGCACTGTTTAGCAGCTCTTTCTTTCAATATGAAGAACTCCTGTTAGCATTTCTGGTAGTACAGGTCTGGTAGTGATAAATTCTTTCAGCTTTTGTTTATCCCTCCTTTATTTCTAAAGACTAGCTTTGCTGGGTACAGCATTCTTGGTTAACAGGGTTTTTTTCTTTTTCTTTTCTTTCTTCTTTCTTTCTTTCTTTTTCTTTTCTTTCTTTCTTTTTAAATTTTATTTATTTATTTATTTTTCTTTTCCTTCAGTACATGAATATATCATCCCATTATTTTCCTAGCCTTCAAAGTTTCTGCTGAGAAGTCTGCTATCAGGTGAATTGAAACACTCTTATGTATTGTTTCTTTTCTCTTGATGCTTTGACCTTCATCTTTAATCTTTTTGAGCTTTATTATAAGATGTATCTAGATAGAATTGGGTGAGTCAAACCTGACTGGCGACCTTTGACCTTCCCATATATAATATTTGTAGCCTTCTCTAGATCTGGAAACGTTTCTGTTATTGTCTTTCTGAACAATCTTTCTATCTCTTTGGCATCCTCAAGTCTTTCTTGGGTCTCTATAACCTGAATATTTGCTCTTTTAATGCTGTCCCAAAATTCCCATAAGCTTTCTTCATTCCTTTTCATTCATTTTTTTTCTTTTTCTCCTTTATTTTCAAGTAGCCTACCTTGTAGCTCACTGATTCTTTTTCCTGTTTGTTCTTCTATTATTGAAGCCTTCCATCACATTTTCACTTTATTAAGTGTATTTTTCAACTCAAGAATGTATGTTATATTTTTAATTACTTCAATGTCTAAGTTTCACTAATAAAGCAAGGAATTGTTTCTCTGTGTTATCGTTAAACTCATTAAATTCCCTTTAACGGTTATTTTGAATACTCTGTATAAGAATGTGTGTGTGTGTGTGTGTGTGTGTGTGTGTGTATATATATATATATATATATATATATATATATATATATACACATATAACCTCACGATCCGTTTCTGGTTTATTAATTTGTCCTTCAGGTGAGGTTCTTAGAAAATTCTTAATGGTTGTTGGAGTACAATAATCCCTGAACACTGAAGGATTCGATATTTATTCCAGTCTTCATTATCTGGCTTTGTTTATACCTGCCCTTTCAGAAATTCTAAGAAGGTTGCTTATTTTCTCTGAGCCTGTGACTACTGCCTCTATGTCAGCACTAGATGGAGCCCTAAGTCCAGGTTTGCTTCCAGTTCATACTTGGTGTGTTGTCACAGTTTCAGTACTAGAGGACTCCCTTTATGCAAGTTTGTCCCAATCCACAGTTGGTGTGCTATTCCAAATGGTCTTAGGGGTGCTTATAATGGGTAGGTAGTCCATCTCTATGAACCTCTTCCTGGGACTGGAGTGGCCCAGATGCCTCATCAACAGCAGCCTGTGGTCAGGTGTCAAGGACTGTCTGGCCTTACTGTGAAGGGACTGGCCTAGGCTCTCTGAAGTTACTTAGCACTTACCTCCCTCTTCTGCCTTCAAGGACATAATGCTTTTCCATGTTGTGCTGGATGAGTTTGGGGGAAGGATGGGTGATCAGTTCTGTGGCCACCAGCATCACAATGCTGGATTGCATCTGCTGCCTACAGCAGACTGAGTCTAGCACAATAGGGCCGGATCAAGGCACATGATGCTCTGTCCTGCTGGCTGGTATGGTTTATTTGTGGCCCAATCCTACAGCTTTGAGTAATGCTGGCTATAATGCAGTTTGTCCAACTGGAACTACAGGTCTCCATCTGGCATAAGGGCAGAACCAGAGGTTCCACTTATAGGCACTGGCCAGGGGACAGGTCTGGCACTGGGTTTTATCAGCCCAGCACTGAGTCCCAAGGCAAAGTCCTCTGTTCATTTGTCTGTCCTACTTCCAAATGGAGTCCATGCTGTGTTACCTAGATGCCGCAGTCCGGCTGTAGCAAACTAACCGGGGGGTGATGAGGAACTTGTGTAGATTGATACAGCAGGAGTGGGAGCCGTTTATTGTAGGACAGGAGGGGTATATATACATTCCACACAGCTTATCCTAATTAACATAAACTAGATACAGCAGTCAACCAATAAGGAATCTCCACACTTAATGGCTCGCTGGCGTTACTTCACAAACCACTCCCTCTGGCAAAATGCCAGGCGCCATCCTGACTTGTTTACAGATTCTAACACCTAGGGTTGGGGGGAAGAGTGCTGGAGGCAGTCCCTTGACCACAAGGCTAGCGCAGGTCCCAAAGCTTGACTTCTGGGCACTGAGCTAGAGGCAGCAGCCATTGGCTCAGCCTGACACTGGGTTTCACTAGGGTAAGCCTAGTACTGGGTTCCAAGTCTAACACCTGGAATTAATTCCTTCCTCCCCCTGCCCCCAATCAGGAGGCACCTCTCTTCATGCTGCATTTCTTGGAGTTGGGGGTGGCAGTGAGACAAACAACTCCTTCCTGCCTTCTTCAATGCATCTTTTATTATTATGCTAAAACAGGTACTATGATGTCTCACCTGGCCTCCTTAGCTCTTGTGAATGTAGTTCAGTGTATGAATAACTGTTCAAATTGATGTTTTACTGGAGGTTCTTACCACTGCTACCTTGCTTCATCCAGTCACTATTTTAAGCACTCTTCTTGAACATTCTCTTTTACCCACCACATCTACATTTTGGCACACAAATTAAAATCTATCACCCTATCCTGTCTCCTGAGTCTAGGCCTTTAGCTGCAATTCAACATGAATTTTCCACTAATTCACTAAACTCAACATGCTCAAAATAGAATTTATTGCCTCCTTTTTCCTTCTCAAATACAGGAAGGACTTCCTAAGCTTGGTGAGAGTCCTCAATGTGCTATCCCATTTCTTCACTTAGATGCATCAGTAAGCACACAGCTAACATTCACTGAGCTCAAATTCTCTTTGTTATGGTTTAGATGTTGTTTCCCCCAAGGGTTCATGTGTAAGAGGGTTGGCAGTATTAAGAGATGCTGAAATCTTTAAGAGGTGGGGCCTACCAGGTAGTGTTTGGGTCACTGTGGGCACCGCCCTTAGTCTACTGCTCATGCGACCAAAATTAGCTCCCGTGAGAATGAGTCATCATAAAAGAGTGAAACTGATATTTCCCTATATTCTGGCTGTCTATCTTGCCATGTTATTACTCTCACAGGTTCTCATGCCAGTATGATGCTATCCTCTGGTAATATCATCCCGTGTAGCCTTTGTCAGAAGCCAAACAAATGGGGACATCTAATCTTGGACTTTCAGCCTCCAAAATAGAGAGCTAAATAAACCTCATTTGTTTATATATTACCCAGTCTCAGTTATTTTATTATAGTAATAGAAAATAGATTAATTAATACATGATGTTAAAATATTTATACACATTAGCTTATTTAACATTAATTTATAGACATTAATTCATTAATTTATAGAGATTATCCCATTTAATCACCATTATCTCATTTGATCCTCACAACAAATCTATTAGGTCACTGTCCTTTTACATAAAAGAAATTAAAATTTAAGAAAGTGAATAAACTTACTCAGAGACATCCAGCAAGTATGACTGAACTAAAAGTCAGACATAGTAGTTTGTCTCCATAGTTCAGAGAACCACGTTCCTAACTCTACACACTTCTAGGAAAAGATACAGTAGGTCTAAGATTTTGCAAAAAAGAATATTTGCAAAAAAATATAAATAAATTAGACAGTAAAATTCAAATGTTAAATGGATTAAAATGTAAAGTCCACATTACTTGTTCAAATCTGATAGTATCCACCTGAATCAACCTGACTGGCTCTGCTTTGCAGTTAGTTCTAGTTATGTCTTGACATAAACTCATCTATTTAGAGTGGTAGATCACATGCCGGAAACAAGCCAAGAGAGACCTGGCTTCCAGATCCTATGGAGTCCTCAACTTCTAAATGCTGCTTCTTGGAATTAATCTCTGCTCTTGGAGGTAATGATATCTCTTGTGTTATGAATTGGTCCTCTGAGCCCAGCCCCCTCCCCTGAAATAAGAAAAGCATTTCTTTATCTTAAAGTTAAGCTTCAGACATCTCTGAAACTATTTTTTCCTCCTCTCTCTAAAGGACTCAAGCCTGAGGAATTGGAACACTTCCACAACCCATTCTTGTGTGTGCTCTTTGGTACTGAATGACTATTTGACTAAGTGATTCCTGAGGCTGGAAAGACCCTTCCGTAAAAACCAACCTTGTCCATCCACCCTCAGCCAGGTTATTGTCATGCTTATCTAATGGCTCTGTGATCCACATTCATCTTCCTTGGAGCCAATCTGGCTTTTTCATTTCCTGCCCACCCGGTACTCTGCTCCTACTCTCATCCTCAAGGCTGAGAGGAAATCTTTCTAATGATTCCTTCAGTTTGTTAGCCCCTGTCTTTCCACTGGACCTTCCCAGGACAACTTCACCACATACTTACAGGCCAGTAATCTGGATAGTTTATTTATATAAGCACTTACTGAAAATCTCCTATTAGATTTTTCTAAAGTTAAAGGACGATAGGTAACAACCCTTATGTTCAAGAAAGTGCCAGTCATACATCAGTAAGCATATATATTGTCATAGGGAGTGAACCAAATATTTAGTGAAGTCTAAGAATGGAGCCTCCAGATGAAATGTTAATCTTTAGTGCAGAGGTCCTGTGGGTGGTAAACCTTGAAGGTTCCAGAGACCTGAGACTGCTGTTTACTATTTTATCTTGATTTCTAACAAATATTTCAGTATACAGAGCTGGTGTCCAATAAATAGCTGTTAAATGAATAACTGTACCCACTTAAAATCCCAGATGATCTGAGTTATAATATTCAGGCATCACAAATCTAGACCAAGAAAATGAGAATATTCTTAAGTTGCATCTTAGAAGTGTTCATAGGAAAGAATTCCAAGGTTAGGCTGGCCCCGCAATCAGTGAAGCATCCCATCCCACTGGCAGCTCTACCTGCCCACACAGTTTATCTCTACAGATTCACCTGGGCTCCTAAGTCTTTGTGCAGTCTTTGTGCACCCTGTTTGAAAGCACCCAGATACAGAAGACTCACTGCCCATGATGTTTAGTGCAGCTCAGACAAATTTGAAGTCATTCTTTTCAATGAGATAAAATCTGTCTTCCTGGAACCTCCACCCATTAGCCTGGGTTTGACCTCTGATACCACAGAAAACAAATACAATAACTCTCCAAAGAATAGCTCCTCAGATATTTGAAGACTGACGCTCAATGAACCTTTTGGGGGGTCACTTAAAAATCTTCTCAATGTTACCAGTGGCTCTTTACTTTCCATGTCCTCTTATTATCCTGACTCGTTTCCATTAAACACACTTAATTGCTTACATTTTTTTTTTTAAATTTCAGCTCTAAATTAGAACTTTAAGAACCACCTGATTACTATAAAGATGACAAGTAAGACAAGTACAATCACCTTCTCTAGTCTGGATATCATATCTTATAATGTGGCCTATGTGCATATTAACATCATATCAACATTATTGATTTATGTTGTATTGATTTTAACTAATTTTTTTTTTACATAAGATAGAACAGAGTTGCTATATAATGTCTCAGCATCTGGAGACATTATATAATAGACTTTTTGACCCACAACATGTTTATCCATTTTTCCCTATTAAATTATATCTTCATACATTCAGTTTATAAATCCAGTAAAATCTTTAAATTCTGTCCTGAACAACTTCAAATTTCCCTGGGTTTAAATTTATCCATCTATTAATTAAAATATTTCATTTATTGAATGCTCATTTGGGTGCTAAGCACTATCCTAAGAAGCAGGAATTTGACATGAAAAAGTCTCTTCTTACAAGAATTCCACATGTAAGAAAGGTCAGAGGATGGAAAGGGGCATTGTGAGTGCCAGATCCAGGAAACACCTTTCTGCCTTCTCCCAATGCCCCAGTGAGATGAGTCTGCCTTCTATATGTCAGATCTTTGACAAAACTTAAACTGATCTTTCTCTACAAATTAACAAAAACATTCTGCATATGTTCTCTTGGTCAGTTAAAATTCTTGGAACCTGGCATAAACTCTCTGTTGCAATTCCTTGGTTTCCATCCAAGTAATCACTCAGGTTCCTTAAAATGAACTTGCATAATCCCCACTGGGAATATAACTGGTCTGACTCACTTCAACAGTTGGAGGTACGAACACATTCACATCTATTTTATTTTGTTAACGTGTCCCTCACAGCCCAATTAGTTCTCCAAAGAGAAGTACATACCAAGCAAGTACAGAGAAAGTCCATCTTTTATGAAGTCAAAAGGAATTCTTGAGATCCTTTCCTTAACAGATTCCTGGTTTACATAACTAAATGGAATCACTTGCTATTTTTTAAATTAAATATAAAAAGTGATCCAAAATTCCAGCTCTGTATTTAGAAAAGGTTAGAATGTTAATTTTTTGAAGTATGCTATTTATATTAACAGAAGAGGTGATCACTTTTTCGTAGAAGGGGGAAAAAAAACAGAAGGCCCTAAGCATTCCCAGGAATAAGTTTTTAAAGCCTTGGTTTGTATACATAATAAAGATGAATACGGTAGAGATGAGGGACCTAGAAATCTGGTATACACTTCCACCAGGAGAAGCGGGAAATGTTCTTCCTTGTTTCCATGTTTTCTACTTTCTTTTCCTTTTTTAACTTCGCCTTCCAATAGGGAAAGCCAAGACTGAGAGACACTGAACTAGAATAAAATGGAGATGCTGGATTTTAAAAGACTGAGCTGGCCAAAACCATAAAACATTTTTAACTTATAGCCTTCAAACAAGTTCTGATATCTTACCTCCAGTATTGGCAACCTATTCTATAGCCAGAGAGCTACAGTTCAGCCTGCTGGGGAATTTCAGTGACACACATACCATTCACCTGTCCTCAGCAAAGCACTCTCCCACACCCTCCTACATCCATCTTGCCAGACTGGTCCTGCAGGTGCCCAGGGGTTGGTACTCCATGAGACCATTCCTCCCAATGCAGTCAGCCTTTTACCAGTGGTCCCAAGCCCAGGATTCCCCTTCCTGCCCACTCTGAGCATCAAGATATCTTCATGCTCTGGATGAGAGAGAGAGAGAGAGAGAGAGAGAGAGAGAGAGAGAGAGAGAGAGAGAGAGAGATCCAGCTTACTTATATCATAGAAAGGAATCTGTTAACCACAAATGAATTTGCATTACCAATGTACTTCACTTAGATTATCTCATTTCATACACATGCCTATCAGAGAGATGACTATTATCACAATTTCACAAAGTAGACTAGTAGTAGTAATACTAGTAGACTAGCTCTTGGAAGGGAATATGACTTATCAGGCTTCAACTTAGTCTATGCTGATTTTGTCTCATCCAGTCATCAAGAGACATTACTCAACTGAATACTGCTGCACCCCTATGTTATCTTAGCAAATGACTTGAACCAATCACTACATGCTAGCTTTCCATCACTATAACAAATACCTAAAATGAATCCATTTATAAAGATAAAAAGTCAATTTTGGTTCATGATTTGGGAGGCTTGGGTCCATCATGGATTGACCATTACTTTGGGCCTATGGCAAGGCAACTTGTAGTGGTGAGAACACAAGAAGGAACACAACCATTCACCTCCTGGCCAGGAAGTAAAAAAGAAGAAGAAGGAGCTGGGGGATCACTAGACCCTTCAAGAACACACCCCTAAAGACCTAAAGACTTCCCACTAGGCTTTACCTGGAAAAGGTTCCACCACTTCCCACTATTACTATGGGCTATGGACCAAGAGTTTAGCACATGGTTCTCTGAGGAATATGTATACAAACCATAGCAATGTCCAGTGAAAACAAAGAGCCATCTCCCTTGAGAGGAAGTGGGTATGACCAGCAATTCTTCAGACCCTGCTGGAAATGCAAGCATTTCTAGTGCATATAAGAATGATAATAATAGTAATAGTAATTGCAGAAGTTCACATACACACACTTACAATGTGCTTCACTTAGATTATCTCATTTCATACACATGCCTATCAGAGAGATGACTATTATCACAATTTCACAAAGTAGACTAGTAGTGGTAATACTAGTAGACTAGCATTTTAACTAGTCTTCCAAGAGACAATGACATTACCTAGTATTCTGCTCTTAGGACTGGAAAATTGAACTTTAATACCAGAAAGAGTAGGTAGGCTCCTTCTTCCACATGCCTCACCCACAGGTGTCTGCCTGCTCTTTTCTTCAGTAGGCAGGTCTCATCTTATCCTACAGATTCAACAAAATGATTTCCTATAGCTTTCAGCAATCACATGAAGAAACATGTGATTAAAACAGCCTGTTATCTTCATCTCTCAACAACCCACACAATATTGCATTTACAAAATTCTCCACTAGAACAATTTGGTTTAAAAGTTTCTACAACAGTCACTGCCTCAAATATGTTGATAGGATGGCCTTTCTAGAATTGTCCTTCACAGACACAAGTATGATTAAAACAAAGACCATGTTGTCTAGTAGTAAAAGCCAACGTAGGATATGAGAATTCAGTCTCCAGGTAACCAAGGACAAGGCAACCCTGAGCATGTATCTGCATGTAAAATGCTGTATGGAACACTCTGTACTCAAACTCTTTCATGAAACAGCAACTCTGAAGAGAAGCCAGTCTGCAATGTTTTATAATTGTCTGTGATTCAGCAAGTGAATTTGCATTACCAATAATATTCTGTCAATGTATTGAGCATGTTGTGGTGAGCCGTTCCTATAGACCGTGGCCGCCATTAGAAGATGGCGCCGGCTTCCACTGTGGCCTGTGATAAACAACTCCTTTTTTGGAGAGTTGGCACGTAATCCTTTATCACCCTATGAGAAAGCTCCACGTGGCAGCTTTGCATTGGGGCTTGAGATGCTTTATTAAGGCTGGGAGGGGCATCCGAGAGAAAGAAGAAGAAATATCAAGGGCCTGAATAAACTGCTGAAAGAAGATTCCTGAGTTGCATCTTCCTTGCGGGCAAGGGGTCGCGACAGCATCTTGTGTTTTTTTGCATAAAAAGAAAGTGTTCATGGTATAAAGAATCAAAGTGTGTCCACGTTCAGGAAAGGTATGTGTCTTCAGCCACAATTTTTCCCAGAACTTTATTTTGTCTTCTGTCTTATTTCAGTCTAATATTGAAAACTTTTGTTGCACAGTAGTTTAAGAGGTTTCCAGAAGTGTCTGAAAGCAGCGATTTCCAGAGTGGTTGTACTTCTTGGCCAAGCAGTCTGCCTCTTCTCCCCACTGTTCACATTGGCAATGAGTGGTAGGCATCTGCAAGGTAAAGTATTGAAAAGTGCTTCAATATCCTGAGGTTCCCTAAGTCTTTGGCAATCACCAACTCTTTGAAAATAGGAGCTTTATCCATCTTTCTCACTCCCAGACCTAAACATGGGGCCTGATGCCTACAGA